GCTTTGCATGTATCTGTGCATTTTTCTTTGAATGAATTTTTGGTTCCTTAATGACAGAATACTTTTTTTTTTTTTTTTTTTTTTTTTGTATGCTGGGATGGAGCTCAGACTCATGGGATGGGGATCCTTCTATTTCAGCTCTGCCTATGTGTCTTACGGGGGCCTGCTCATGAGACTGCAGGGTGACGCCAACAACCTGCATGGATTTGAGGTGGATTCCAGAGTTTATCTGCTGATGAAGAAATTGGCCTTCTGAACCTCGAAAGATGCCAGCCTGCTCTTGGTCACTCAGGTTGTGGACATTGTTCAAACCTGAGTAGAAGTTGCTGTTGTTCACCTGTTAAGGAGGAACTGGTTTTCTGCCCACTGTTGGTGCATCTTTAGCTAGTCTGAACTCAGTGGGAAACTGGCTTGCCTGTGAAAGACCCAATGTTATTTTGTGTATATATGACTTTTTAATTAAACTTTACTTTTTCAGACTCCCCCCCTTCTTTAACACATTTTCATTTTAAAAAAAAAATTGTTTTTCTTTTAGTTGTAGATGAACAAATACCTTTATTTTGTTCATTTATTTTTATGTGGTGCTGAGGATTGAACCCAGTGCTTCACACATGTCAGGCAAGTGCTCAACTGTTGGGCCACAACCCCAGCCCCATTTCCATTTTCTTTAAAATTGTTTTTTCCAATTTGTCTGTAGTATATTTCTGTCCCACAGCCAGATGACCATGTATCAACCTAGGGCTGTCCCAATCTCAGCCTTTTGGTTTTTGGGTTTAGGGTCATCTCCATCTCCTGGCTGACTGACTATTCTAGCATATATCCTCTAGTGTGATTTTCTATCTGGAGGGAGGGTTGTGCTTTGGCTCCTGAGAGTAATATCCCATGCCCGGAAGATACCACCCATTTGGCATAGAATTTTGAATTGGCAAGGTGCCATGCTCATGTCCTTCCAACACTCAGTCTCCAGGAAGTCAGTTCACATTAATTTGAATGAGTTACTTGCATAGCCTGGAAAAGTTCTTTTTTTAATGGAAGCTTTGGGTGGAGACTTTTTGACATGGACTTGGGGTGTGACTAATGAGAGGAGGAAGAGAGGACTTGGCTATAGAAGCAGGTGGACTTGGTTCTCTGCTCCATGTTCCAGTGGTGACCCAGGAGGGAGGGTAAGTGGTAATGGTTCTTATGAGTGACACTGAACAGGGAGCTGCTACACAGACCAGTGCAGTGGACAAGACAGTAATACCAAGAGGTTGGCAGTTCAGGGCCCAGGACAACACAGCAGCCTGACTGCACTCACTAACTTATTTTTTTTTTTTTTTTTTAAAGAGAGAGTGAGAGAGGAGAGAGAGAGAGAGAGAGAGAGAGAGAGAATTTTTTAATATTTATTTTTTAGTTCTCGGCGGACACAACATCTTTGTTTGTATGTGGTGCTGAGGATCRAACCCGGGCCGCACGCATGCTAGGCGAGCGCGCTACCACTTGAGCCACATCCCCAGCCCACTCACTAACTTATAAGTGGAAGAATAAAAAAGTTAAGGAAATGGTGGTGATGACAAGGGCTCCAGCCTGTGAACTGGCTCTACAACCAGGCATTAGAGGACCTGAGAAAGCATATGGGACTCTTTTCCCCTTGGAAATTCAGGGTAATAATTCAGAAAGATTGGGGATTAAGCAATTGTCTTTTGATATCCTGGTTTTGCCATAGGAGCTGGTACCCTGCTGGTATGCCTGGGGTTTTTGCTTTCCCATCATTTTCAGGTCTCTACATGAGGCATTAGAAATAGTATTTAGGGAAATGGGTTGAAGTGAATGACCTCAGCAGTGAGGAGAGAAGGTGTTTTTTGTTGTTATTTTACCATTGGTGGTTTGGGGAAGGAAGTAGCAGATGCCTTAGGGGTTGGGGAGTATTTTTATGGAATCTTAGAACCTTTCCATGGGGTCAGATTCTCTTGAAGGGTTGGAGAAGGATGGATTTAGGTTAGAGAGAGAGAACCTAACTACTGGGAATCAGGATATAAACTGTCCTGGGGTAGCAAAAGAGAGAGAACTAGTGTAAAGTAAAACATTATGGTTTTAAAGTGTGTGTGTATGTGTCTGTGTGTGTGTGTGTGTGTGTGTGAGAGAGAGAGAGAGAGAGAGAGAGAGAGAGAGAGAAGAAGGGATGGAATCAGCCAGAAGGAGTGATTTGGAAGTCTTTTCTTTTGGTTCTGGGGGTTGACTTCAGGGGCTTCATAATATGCCAAGCATGTATGAAGTGCTACACCTGCTGCTCCACGTTAGATTAGTTACCTTTTATGGTGCTGAGATCAAATCCAGGATGTCACACATGCTGGACAATCTAGGATAGATTTATTTATTTATTTTTTGTACTGGAGATTGAACCTGGGTGTGTTTAACCACTGAGCCACATAAATAGCCTTTTTTTTTTACATTTTATTTTGAGACAGAGTCTATGTTAAGTTGCTGAGGCTGGCTTTGAACTTGCTATCCGCCTGCCTCAGCCTTCCCAGCTGCTGGGATTACAGGTGTATACCACTGTGCCTGGCTAGGATAGATTCTTAATAGGTGCAAATTCATTCACACTGGAGAAAACTATGAGCTTTCTTTTTTGCCTACACTAGAGTAAGTCAAACACGAATATTAGATGCCTGGAACTCTCTGGCTATATTTACGTTTTTGCCATCCTTATCTCTCCTATGAGTGGGCTGAGAATCCATAATTCTTTGGTCCCTTTGGAATATCTTATTCTGGGTTCTGGCTTTTTCATATGCCATAAAGTTTCATTTGATCATTATATATATTTTTGATCATTAAATTTAACATGCTTTGTTTTGATATTTAAATAATTTCCACTAACCATTTCATTAACTGCACCCTGAAATTTGTAGTAGGGTTGAACTAATTCTTTCTCATGCAGAACTGATGGCACCTGAGATTTGGACAATATATTTGAGCTGTGTGCACTTTTTGTTTTTTGCTGTGCTGGAGATGGAACCCAGGGCCTTGATCATGCTAGGCAAACACATTACTACTAAGCAGCATCCCAGCTTTGTACATTTGTTAATTCCTTCTCCATGTTAACTCTTCTGCCCAGGAAAGAAAGATACTTGGAGATCTAAATTGGTCACCCCCGCAAGAGCTTAGGTTTTCCACTTAGATTTGTTAATAAGAGCTGAGGATGTAGCTAGGATGTAATTCTCAGTGACTTAGGAAGCTGAGGCAGGATATCACGAATTCAAGGCCAGCCTCAGCAACTTATTGAGACCCTGTCTCAAAAAGAAAAGGACTGGGGATGTAGCTCAGTGGTAAAGTACCTCATTAATAGTTGTTGCATTTACTCCATAAGGACTTGGAAATCTTTCCCAGTATATAGAACTACTGAATGATTATATTGGACAGCGCACCACACTGAGGAGACTCTGGGATTTAGAGTCAATCAGACTAGGGCTGTTTCTATTCCTGCCAACAGTCTCTATGACCATTGGTAATTTACCTGGCTTCTCTGAGCCTTAGTTTCCTCATCCTTAAAATGTAGGTGGTAATATACATTTTACTGAATTGTATGAGCATTAAAAAAGGGAATATAAGATGGGTGTGGTACTGCATGCCTATAATCCCAGGGACTCATGAGGTTGAGGGAGGAGGATCTCAAGTTCAAGGTCAGCCTCAGCAATTTAATCAAACGCTGTCTTTAAAGGAAAAAGAAAACAAACCGAAAAGAAAGAGAAAGGAACATATATATGATTCCTGACTTTCACCCTAGTGTTTTGGAATGCCTTTGGGGATTCTCAGGTATCTGTGGCAGTGTTTGGAATCCTGAGTTCCTGGTAGACTTTCCTTTTCTTTGAGGTGGGAGAGAGGGAAAAGTTCCTACTAGTTTTCCTACAGGAACCTCAGAATGCAGTAAGTTGATCTTTGTACACAAGGTAAACCTCCCCTTCCTGAGCACCAAGACAGCAAGACTTATTTGCAAAGCCTCTGAAGTCTACCCACCCCCCACCTTTCCCTGTGGTACAGGAGATTGAACCAGGGGCATTCTACCACTGAGCCACATCCCCTGCCCTTTTTTGGGGTGTTGGGGGAAGCAGGGACAGGTTCTTGCTAAATTGTTGAGGCTGACTTTGAACTGTGATCCTCCTGCTTTGGCCTCCTGAGTAATTTGATTACAGGTGTGTGCTACCTGTGCCCTGCAACCCCACCTTCTTTTTAGGGATCCCATAGTTGGGTTTATGGTAATCACATTGGGCTGCTTTTTAGATGCACTTGTAGGGTTTGAGAAGGGAGCCCTCAACTTGTTCTTGTTTGTCCTGCTCTTCCAGCTAAAGGAGCTCATGCCACTTCCTGCACTTCCCCCTGACCTCCACAGGAGGGAGGCAAGAGCCCAGGCCTGGCAAAGCCTCCTGCTGAGCTGCTGAAGGGCTAGCTATTTGCTCAGCTGTCACATTCAGGTCTTGTCTTTACTGAACTGTCTACATAGCCTTACCTGGGGTGGGGGTGAGTGTTAGCTTTCTTGGGAGGTGGGGTTGTGTGTGTGGGGGGGTACCCCCTGTGAAGAACATCTTTCCTTTGCTTTTTAGTTAGCTTTTGGGTTCTCTCATTTATTCTTTTACAGCCTTAGTTTTGTCAATTTTATAGGGACAGTGTTTCTGAGAGACACCTGTTACTCATTTATCAAAAGTAAGAATCTCTTAAGAATAGAGGACCAAACAGTCCCACAGAGAATGACAGTAAAGGTAACGGGGCACTGGAGGGCCTTAAACTTGAAGCGAAGGAAACTACCCTTTCTGTTTTCTGACACAAAGATAGTCTCTATCTCTGTTCAAAGGTGAGGCCAGAACAGGCCTTTGCAGAATTATTATATGAATAAAAAGCATATAGAGAATTAGTGATTTTCAAATTTATGCAGAAAATAGACCAAAGATAACTAGCTGCTCTGATGAATATTGTTGATAGCTTAAAAAATAACTTTTGAAGTTTTATAATGTACAGTGAAAAAAAAAAACAGTCCCTTTTTCTTTCCTGTGTATTCACCTTTACCAGAGTATTGGCTTTCAGGTGGAAACAGGATGTCTGGTATAGCTGCAGTTGTCTTCCAGAGCCTCTCCAGGGAAGGGAACTGCACATGAGAGACACTGCAAATATTGTCAGTGTCAGCATTCCTTACCCTTCCTGAGACAGATTTGGAGAGTTAGGATGGGCTCTGGTTAGAAGGGGGTTAGTAGGGTTGGCAGAAGAGTCAGGAGGCAGGGGGTGGAACTGGACCATGGGGGTGGGCAAGGTGGGTAAAGGGGATAAGAGTGTGTACTGATCAGTAGGAGGATGGGTTGGGGAAGGAGAAGATCCAGTCTGGAGGTTGTGTGACAGGAAGCCTGTGCCCAAAGTTCCTAATGGAATGTCTGGGGCTTCTAGGGTACCCGGTGAGGCTCCAGGAAAGAGTCCATGAGTTCCATTCAAAGGTCTGTGTGTCCTGTTCAGGTATCCAGTGATTTGGTCTGGGGACCTGGTGGTTTGATTCAGCAGAGCAGGAATCTTGGCTCTGAATCCCCGCAGCTTGCTCAGAAGTCCAGAGCCAGTAGTTCTGGCTGAGACACTGAAGTTCGCCTCCAACAATCCAGAAGTCCTGTTTGGGAGCTTGTTCAGTGTGAGGAATAGAGAAGTACTGCTTGGGACAGCTGTGGTGGGCAGGGACCGCCTGACACAGAGGGCAGGTCCTCCTACAACCAGAAGAAAACGCACCTTTCCTCGGAGCAGTTGTTGGAAGCTCAGGAAGATGGCATTGGGATCCTTGTGAGCTGTGGTCCTGCCCTGTGGAGGAAGCTGAGGGCAGAGGATGGGCCTGAAGTCAGAGACCAGGCCTAAGATATCAGGTCTCCCTTGACTATGTAGGACAGATAGGGTGTCTGCACCCAGGCATTATAACTAGGAAGGAACACTCCTTGGCAGACCAGTTCTACCCTCCAGATCCCTTGAATCCCCTTTCTTCCCCCAGGTCGTTTAGGGAGACTGAGTCAGAGGACAATTTCTTTGGATTCCTCAGCTTGGGATTTACCTGGGTTCCAAGGAGGCCCTGCAGGGCACCAAGGAGGAGTCGGACCTGTCCAGAAAGCTGTCCCAGGAGAGCTGAGAGGCAGGTGGGACCCAACTGTCCCCGTGCTGCCATCACTCCCTCCAGTAGAAGGGTCACTGCTCCCAGAATGTCCTGTGCCTTGGTCTGCTCCTGGGAAAGAGATGGAAGAAAGAAGCGGACTGCTTCAAAGGGCATGCTAATAGCGGGTGGGGAGCCTGTAGGAGTAGCCAGCAGAATGAATCATAGGAGCTGAGAATTGGACAGGACCAGGGTCCCACCCAGCACAGGAATTCTTTCACAGTCTCCCGACAATTGGTCATTGGCCTCTGCTTCAATAACTCCACTGTCCGCCAACCCTGCCTGGTCTTACACCAACTTTCAGTCAGAAAGTTCTGCACTGTTATAACTTTTAGCTCTTGAAAACTAGTGCCGAAAGTCTACTCTTTTTGCTACAAAATATTAGGACCATAGCATTTTTAAACTAAATGAAGAATTGAGGCTCCAAAATAATGGAAGGGAAGGGACTTAATAAATGGCAGAGCTTGAACTATAGGTGATCCATAGGGACCAACTGTCCTTCTCCTCTGACCCAGTGATCCGAGCAGACCTGAGGAAAGGAGGGGGACTCTAGAGATCTTGGGGGTAGAAGACTTGACCTGCCAATGAGTCCTGCATCCCAAGTAGGTTTCCTGAGTCATAAGTGGAAACATTTCTTGCTTTACCATAAGACTACTACTTTTCTTCAAGCTAATCAGACATGTTTTTTTAACCAGGTCTCCCATAACATTTTTTTCTAGGCTCTCACTATGCAGGTTTTTCTTTCTGGACAGTTTAATATGGTCCCTTTTAATAAATTAGCATGTGTCCTGAAGGGGATGTTCAGTACTCAGACCAGTGCTTTTAAGTGCAATTCACTCAAAATAGAGTTCTAAGAATATTTCCATAATATTGTTACTAAACATCTAAAAGCAGTCTAGAATTGCTAGCTTTAAAACCAATTGCTTCTGATTTGGGGTTGTAACTCATGCACAAGGCCCTGGGTTCAATGCCTAGCTCTGCAAAAAGGAATAAATAAATAAATAAATAAACAAACAAACAAATAATTGCTTTAATAGTGCCATTACTTGCTAAGTTTTTTTTTTTTTTTTAAAACACTTCCAAATCTTTTTCATAGGAAGTGCTAGGGCCAGAAGCTTAAATGAGGGAAGCAGGGCTTCAGGGTCTTAAGCTGGAATAGGACTTTATTCATTTTACATGTAGAATTACACACGTGTCTATTAAATTTCATCTTGTTTATGATGTAAGTTTTTAGTGATTGGAATCTTGATTCTGACTTCAGTTAGTGGTGCTTCCCAGCATCGTGTCATCTGTGGATACAGATTAATCTTACTTCTCTGTGCCAACTTAAGAAGGTTGAACAGTCTTAAAGGCATGATCGTGATAGACTTCTATCCAGCTTTTTTGTGTGTGTATGTATGGTGCTGGGGATTGAAACCAGGGCCTTGTGCATTCGAGGCAAGTACTCTACCAACTGAGCTATATCCCCAGCCCCTCTCTCCAGCTTTTCATGATGTTTAACATATTAATATTTGACATATTGGGCCTGAAATCCATCATCTTGTCCACAGGATAGACATAGATGAATGTATATTGGGTTAGGGTGGCCAAGCTGAAGATGAGATTATTTTTAGTGACCTTAAGAATTATGAAGGACAGGCTGAGGATATACTCAGTTGGTAGGGTGCTTGCCTCGCATGCACAAGGTCCTGGGTTCAATCCCAGCACCACACACACACACAAAAATAATGAAGGATCCATGGAAAGCAGTAGGGAGCTGATAATGAGCTGATAATGACAGGAATTTGGGGAGCCAAAGTAAAGGATGGAGTTCCTTGTGTGTGTGTGTGTGTGTGTGTGTGTGTGTGTGTGTGTGTGTGTTTTGCTGGTGATCAAAGCCAGGGTCACATATGCTGGGCAAGTACTCTACCACTGAGCCATGCCCCCAGCCCAGACATCCCAGGGATGACTTTCTTACCGTCTGGGTTTTCCATTCTCCCAAGCTAAAATCCACAGCAGGTAGCAGGACAGGGGTGGACAAAGGATTGATGTCTGGGCACTGGCTCTGTTGAAAAAAAAAAATGTGTGGGGGAGAAGAGAGATGAAATAGAGAGGGTACGGTGGCCCAGTGACTGGGCTAGCCTTCCATGAGCACTATGTTCAGTCCAGAGCTTCTAAAAAAGGCTCTAGTGCAAATCACAATTCTTGACAGGGAGTGGTGATCAGTAGGTCAAAGGCAATGTTGGAAGAATAGTTATTGGTCCGGGAGTGAGAGGAAGTTATGGGGTTGAGGGTACCTTACCAGTTAAGTGAATAGAGAAGCTAGTGCTTGGGAATTCTCACCAGTCTGCTGTGAAGGACGTGGGAGTCACGAAGCAGTTTATTTAGGAGTCGGGGGTCACAGGCAGGAGGAGCCGGGCTGGACAGAGTTAGTCTTGCAGTAAGGAGAAGCATGACCACAAGGAGCAATTCTTAGATGAGGAGAAGTGAGGTTGAACGGGGTGGATAAGGAAGAAATCATTGTTGGGTGATGGTCCAGGAAATCCCATTTAGGACCCAGACCTGAAATCCAGGGAATCTTCTACTTGGACATACCTTATTCCTGGGAGACTGGGTTCCCTAATTCCCCACCCCTGCAGCATGCCTATTTATTCTCTCTCCCTGCCATGCTCCAGCCTGGGCCTAGCCCCTCAAGTGTGATCTTACCAGTCAGCTCCATTCTGGCTAGGGTGTCTGGCTGGAGTGGCTCCCTGTATGGGGCCTCTCCCCTGAATCCTTCCTGGGGCCATGGAGGCGGCTTGGGCTCTTTGCACTTCTGGGCAGAGTGGGGTGGGGCACAGGTGGGCCGAGGAAGACAGTCTGGAAACTATCCTGAAAGTTACAAAAGTGGTGAATATTTTACCAAGTTTCAAGAAAAAGACTGCCTGGCAGAGGGAACAGATGCTGGGAGAGCTTGAGTTACTAAAGTTCTGATGGCTCCCAGGTTTTCTTGTGATCACAGCATATGGTGTCTCCTGACTTTGTCAGGGGTCCTCAGTGACTCTGGTACTGGTTTGGTCCCTCCACTCACATACACGCTGAGGGCAGCAGAACATGATATGCACTCTTGTGTGCATACACACACACACACACACACACACACACACACACACACCCACCTTTATTGGCCTCAAATTCTGAGTAACCTTGGTTGTTAGGTTGGAAGAAATCTGGGATCGGGTTAGAGAAGGGAGCCTGAAGAGTGGAAAACAGGATCCAGAGCAAGGATCAGGAAGTTGAAAATATGCACGATGTGTTGCAGTGTGGCTTCCGTGTTGGGCAGAAATATAACTGGGACCACAGGAGGACATGGATTAAAAGGGGGTACCATAGTCATTGACCTCTCATTCTTTCTCTATTTACCCTACCCATATAGTCTCCTGGAGTTTTTCTTTGCATTCCAAGTTCTGATATCCAAGTTAAAGAGATTCCAAGTACTGATATCCAAGTTAAAGAGATGAACTAATAGTCCTGGGATTTCCTTCCTGAGGCAAGTGGCTCAGGAATGAGCAACAGCTTAGTGAGGTGATGCCCGCCTTACATGGCTTACCTTATTTTAGACACTGACTGGCCAAGTTATCTGTCTCATGGCTACACCTGCTTCCCTGCCCCCTCTGCAGACCCCTTCTGATTGCTTCACAAGACCCCCCACATGGTTTCCTCCTCCCTTCACAAGTTGTGCAAAGAGGCCTGCACCTGATTCAATATTGGGATTTCCTGTAGGTCTGTCAACATGCATGAGCCCTCCTCCCTTTATGTTCTCCTTGTGCCCTGGCTTGCCTGACCCAGCTTCCCCAGTCCCAGGATTCAGAACTTTAAGCTAATAAAAAATGAGCCGGTAAGACTGGGGATTGGACCGCGTCTATTTTAGTGCTGTGTTTTCTAACCCTACATGTACCTCCTTTCTTATTTTCTCCCTGGGCCTGTGTCCCCTTTCCTAGATCTTGGGAGGCCTGTGCTATATTCCACTAAGTCTGTGATCAGTCCTTCAGAAACCAGCACCCCACCCCCTACCCCTGCCCTGTCCTGCTCCTCCCATTCTGGGAAGGCTCCACTCTTCTCGACAAAGGTCAGTGCCTGTAGGTTCCAGTTTGCTTGCCCCTCCCCCAGCTTGGAGCCCAACTCTTCTTTCCTGTCTTTCATACCCTCACTTAACCCCAAACCCTGTTTGCCACTCACCGGGTAGAGAAGGGCTTAAGGACCCAGGTGCACAGCAGGCAGCACTCTGGGGAGCAGATGAGTAGAAAGACATGTGGCGTTGGGGCACAGCCCCTCCACTGCAGTGGGGTCACAGGCTTGACCGGGCCACTTTTGCCCAATCAGAGAGCAGAGAGCCACCAGACACTGGCGAAGGCCCCGGAAGTGACGCCTTCTCCTCCTATCCAAGCTGGACCTGGAGCCCCTGCCTGGACCATGGTCCACTAATGGAGCCCAGCTCCTCCACCCCCACACACCACAGGGAGGATTTGCATAGGGGGATTCATCTTTTCCTAGAAGATGGAAACCTGGGAGCTGGCTGGGAGAGAGATGGGAAAGGAATAGAGGTTTTGTCCAGGAGATAGCTGGCAGGACATGTTTGTCCTGAGGGAAAAGGCATGGAAGTCTTGCTTCAGATCGATGAGGTTTTCAGTTCTTAGCTATTCAAATTTCTTCTCTCTGAACACCATACCAGCTGTCAAAATCCAGGTTTCTCCTACAACTCCCTAGGGAGTCTCATCTTGTAATTCCCCTTTCCCAAATGGAATCTAGGCATTGCCTATATTGAAGAAAGATCTTATTAGGGGTCATGGTATGGAGAAAGGGTGTGGACAGTTTGAAGGGACTGGAGGGTGAGGGGGTGTGTGCTGGGTTAAGCCTGGGTCCAGGTGCTCTCCTCCTGGGGCCCAAGAGCTTGGACAACTAAACCCACTTACCTCTGTGTCCATGCCCTGAGCTTGCCCTGTCTTTTGCCCTCTTCCATCTCTTACCACTCCACATGTGACAAGAAAAATAACCAGGCCCATGTGTCCCTGTCTTAAGAAAGACAGCTGCTGAGCCTCCCCCGCAAATACCTCCCTGCTGCCACCCTCCTCTTTCCTTTGGCCCTGGCTCTAACTACTTTGCTTTCCCCTCAGTTCCAGTCTCCCTACAGTCTCTTTCCTCAGGGGCCTCTTGGCTTGACCTTGTTCCCACCTTCTACCCCTAGTTCTTCCTCAGGCTCTCTCTTGTTCCTCTTCCCAAGGATGGGGCTGTCTGCTAGGAGTATGGCCTAGATCCCGGAATTCTCCAGTTCAGACAGAGGAGATGCCTCCCAAGATTAGGAAGGAGGGTGCTGGGATAGCTGGGAGGATGGTGGGGATGTGGGGGTGGGAGGGAACAGGGAGACATGACCAGAAAACCAAGACAAAGGAGATTGGGGGTGGGCTGGAGAGGAAGAGAGTCCCTTGGGTGAAGGAAGAGGTTGAGAGAGCAAGAGGGTGATGGTTGAATGGGCTTGAGGACAGGTTAGAGTGGGAAACAATGACACTCTACCCCAAGGGTAACACTGCCAGTTACTGCATAAGTCTCTGTCCTGGGAATCTCTAGAATGAGGACAGACCTCAGAGGGGGAAGTAGGGCCTAGAGTCAAGAAGAGATCAGTTGTCATCCTTAAAGGCAAGTCTTCATCCTTCAAGCCGGAAGGTCCTTGCCCAGTGACCCGTCCAGGCCTCAGGCCCAGCCTTGGCCCCTCCCTGGCCCTGAGAATCTGGTCCTGGGCTGGACACCCATCTCCCGGTCCAGTCATTCTGTGGCCGCCGGCAGCTGGGGGCTCCAGGCCCGCCTCTCCTCCCCTCTTCGAGCCCCCTGGTCCCTCCCCTCCCCCTACCCCCTCGCTCCCCCTTTCCCTCCAGCCCCTCCCTCCCTCCCCTGCCCGGTCCCAGCCCCTCCCTCCCCTCCCCCATTCGCGATCCGGGCCGCTGCCGCTGGGCCGGACCCCCCGGGCTCAGCCCGGCCCCTCGCCGAGCCGCCGCCGCCGCCCCGTTTGCTGAGGAGGAGGCCCCCGGCCGGGGCGTCGGGCGCCGGGCATAAAACGGGCCGGAGCCGGCGCCCGGGGCACTAGAGCCGAGTACGGCCCGGGTCAGCGCCCGCCCGCCCGCGCTCCTCCCGGCCGCTCCTCCCGCCCCACCCGGCCCGGCGCCGACTCTGCGGCAGCCCGACGAGCCCCTTGCTGCACTGCCCCAGCCCTGGCCCCGGCCCCCTCCCGCCGGACCGCCCCCGACCCGGCCCTCTTCCCTCCTCCCGTCCTGCTCCCTCCTCCCGCCCGCCTCCCCAGCTGTCCCGTTCGCGTCATGCCGAGCCTCCCGGCCCCGCCGGCCCCTCTGCTGCTCCTCGGGCTGCTGTTGCTCGGCTCCCGGCCGGCCCGCGGCGCCGGCCCGGAGCCTCCCGCGCTGCCCATTCGTTCTGAGAAAGAGCCGCTGCCCGTTCGGGGAGCGGCAGGTAGGTGGGCGCCAGAGGTTGTGGGGGAGGCGCGGGCGGTGAGTCCGGCTTTGGGCAAGTTCGCRCCGTTCGGGAGGGGACCCCGGGCGCAGGTGGCTCCGCGCAGCGGGCGGGCTGGAGCCTCCAGGCGCGTTGTGCCAGGGGACCCAGGGCCGGGCGGGTAGCCCCCAAGGCGGGCATACTGCAGGAGCGGGACAGCGGCCGCTAGCCAAGCCCGTCCCCGCAGGCTGTTCCTTCGGCGGGAAGGTCTATGCCTTGGACGAGACGTGGCACCCGGACCTGGGGGAGCCCTTTGGGGTGATGCGCTGCGTTCTGTGTGCCTGTGAGGCGGTGAGTGAACCCTACGGCCGCCGCTCGGGGACCTCTGGGGTTCTGAGACGTCGGAGTGCACTCTAGTTGCTCAGGAGGAAGAGACTGGTCCACAGATACTTGGGATGAGTTTTCTGGCGAAGGAAGCTGGGATCGCCCCCTTTAAGTCTCAGGTGTTGACTACTATCGATCGATCGCTCACTCTGTGCCTTGCGTCTCTCTCTCTCTCTCTCTCTCAACTACCATTATAACTTTGCTAGATAGATAACACTATTATCCCCATTTTCCAGAGGGGGACCCTAAGGCCCAAAGAAGTTAAGCGACTTGTCTAGGGTCTTTCCACCTGTAAATGCCAGAGCTTTCGGACTCTGCCGGTGGACTTTGCACTGGTCCCTAGACTCTCCCTCTTTGCCCTGGAGTCTAACGGTCTGACATCTTGCACTCACTTGATTTTTCCCTGTTCTCTGAGATCAGCCACAGTGGGGTCGCCGTGGGAGGGGCCCTGGCAGGGTCAGCTGCAAAAACATCAAACCTGAGTGCCCAACGCTGGCCTGTGGGCAGCCGCACCAGCTACCAGGACACTGTTGCCAGACCTGCCCCCAAGGTAAGAGCAGCTCTGCGGTAAGGGGAGGGCAACAGGGTGCAATACTAGGTCCTGGGCTAATTGGATTGGGGTGGCCTGCTGTAGCCCGTGTCTCTTACCCCTGGCACAGAGCGCAGCAATTCGGAACAGCAGCGGCCGGGCCTGTCCTTCGAATATCCCAGGGATCCGGAGCATCCCAGTTACAGTGATCGCGGGGAGCCGGGTGCTGAGGAGAGGGCGCGCGCAGACGGCCACACGGGTAAGAGGGGATGGGTGTGTTAGAGGTAGTCCTGGGGGCGGCCGTCAGCGATGGTTGACAGTGCTCATAACGTCTTCCTCCCTTGGCAGACTTCGTGGCGCTGCTGACTGGGCCGAGGTCGCAGGCAGTGGCACGTGCCCGAGTCTCACTGCTACGCTCCAGCCTACGCTTCTCCATCTCCTACCGGAGGTGAGAAAGGGGAAGAAGGGAGGAGCGGGTCAGCTGGGGGAACTGCAGAGGGGAAGAAGAACTGAGAAAGCTGGGTAGGGGTGTGTGTGGGGGTGCTGCTTTTGGCCCAGGCTCCCCGTCCAGCCTTACTGGACTTTTCATTTCCAGGCTGGATCGTCCCAGCAGGGTCCGCTTCTCAGATTCCACCGGCAGCATCCTCTTTGAACACCCTGCATCCCCCACCCAAGATGGCCTGGTGAGATGATGCCATTTATGAGCGCTTATCCAGTCTGGGCACTGTGCTGAGAGCATGCTCTGCATTGCCTCCTTTGGTCCTCAGAACAACCCAGTGGGAGGAAGGCACTGACATTATGATGCCCATTTTACAGATGAGGGAACTGAGGCTCAGTAGCAGAATGTGATTTGTTCAAGGTCACACAGCTAGTAAGTGGTGGAGCCAGGATTTGAACCCAAGCATCTGGCTCCTGGGCACCTTCTTAAGCTTCCTAGGAGGGCCTGGGGGCTCCCTTCCATATTCCTTCCTCATCAGGCCTGGGCCTCTTAGCTGGCCTGTCCGGCATACTGTCTGAGTGTGGGCCCTTCTTGTCTCTCTGTTACAGGTCTGTGGGGTGTGGCGGGCAGTGCCTAGGTTGTCTTTGCGGCTCCTTAGGGCAGAACAGCTGCATGTGGCCCTTGTGACACCTACTCACCCTTCAGGGGAGGTCTGGGGGCCTCTCATTCGGCACCGGGCCCTAGCTGCAGGTAAGGGGAATATGCAGCTGCTGAATATGAAGAAAACTCTTTATATTCAGAGGGTAGTCTGAGAAGGAGATTTTCTGATGGGCTGTCACCATCCTCCCTCCTTCAGAGACCTTCAGTGCCATCCTGACTCTAGAAGGCTTACAACCACAGGGTGTGGGGGGTATCACCCTGCTCACCCTCAGTGATACAGAGGACTCCTTGCATTTTTTGCTGCTCTTCCGGGGCCTGCTGGAACCCAAGAGTGTCGGTAAGTGTGGTGGGGAAAGTGTGAGAGAGGGCAGAGAGGGTACCTATCTCTTAGAAATGTCCACATGTATGCCCATTACAGGAGCAACCCAGGTTCCCTTAAGGCTCCAGATTCTACATCAGGGTCAGCTACTGCGGGAGCTCCAGGCCAATGCCTCAGCCCAGGTGAGGGAGGGGAGGTTCTGATTCTTTTTTTTTTTTTAATATTTATTTTATTTAGCTTTCAGCGGACACAACATTTTTGTTTGTATGTGGTGCTGAGGATCGAACCCGGGCCACACACATGCCAGGCCAGCGCGCTACCGCTTGAGCCACATCCCCAGCCCGAGGCTCTGATTTTTGTTGCCACCTGCCCTGGCCTCTTGCTAGTGCCCATCATACCCTGGTCTGTTCCCAGGAGCCAGGTTTTGCTGAGGTGCTGCCCAATCTGACAGCCCAGGAGATGGACTGGCTGGTGTTGGGGGAACTGCAGATGGCCCTGGAGGGGGCAGGTGGGCCAGAAATGCGCATCAGTGGACACATTGCTGCCAGGCAGAGCTGCGATGGTGAGGCAGGGTGGGGCCTGGCACCTGAGGTACACTCATCCAAGAGGCACAAACAAGTGCCAAGGAAGAGGCCAGGGTGGATGGGGGAGACTCCAGGGGA